ATCTATCATCTATCTATCATCTATCTATCATCTGTCTATCATCTAATCTATCTATCTATCTATCTATCTATCTATCTATCTATATATCATCTATTTAGATTTCTACGTATCATGTGTCATCCTTTGTCTCTCTCCATCTATCTAACCATCATCAATACTCCTTCATCCATGCAGAGAACATGCGTTTATACATAATGAAAGGCACGATTTATACCATTTTCCCTCAGAACGTTTGTTTTAAGGACACAACTTGGAAGAAATAGTTTTGGTTATTAAAAATGTTGATAAGTTGAGAAAATGAGAGTTTAGTCTGTTCAGCCAAGGTAACTGCCTACAGTAACTTGACAGCAGCAATAACTCTGGAATTTTTAATATGGATTTGTCTTGGATCCATTTCTGTTTTTGGCTAAGCAGCAGTCTAATTGATCCAATCCCATTGAAAAAGACTCATCCAGAGAATGTCTTTGAATGCCAAAAACATAAATTAAATTTACACTCACAAAACTTAAAGGGCCTAAGTATGTTGATGCCGTTGGTAAGTAGACTAGCCTTCATTAACTGGAGGGGAAGCATTGGCAACACTTTCTGCAAAAAACTCTTTTCCTTGATGATTCCTACAAATACTCTCTGGAGTGAACCACAGGATTTTTATATATTTTATTTTACTTTCTTTAATACATATTTAAAAAATTGACTTGTTAATGGCCCTGGATTACCTGATTCCCTCATTAACTGTCTTTCCTGAAATACTCTTGTTCAACAAAGACTAACTTGTCTAATTCAATGTGCTCTAGAGAAAATTCAAGGAAATGATTCTTTGTTGCAAGTGTCTCTGCTGCTATTAATTCATCTATCTGATGCCATTTTATACACAAAAGTAGATCATATCGCTATAGATAAATTGGAAATGCAATTAAATCAAAGTAAGTATATACAAACCATGAACGATCTCATCCCTGAATCAGGTCCCCATGATTTTGTTTCATTCTTTTGAATAATTTTCTCTGTAAATATATTCACATAAGAATATTTCACTTAAAATTGCTAAGGCTTAGTTTTTAAAATGTATCCTTTTTTAATGTTAAAACTCTTTTTCAAACAGTTGGCCATGTTCTTAAATATTTTCTAAGAGCATTATTTTGATATGAGGGTCTTATCTCAGATTTCTGCTGTATTGCTGTCACATAGCTTATTTATCCTTCTCTGAGAGAAGAAAATCACCATGGCTAGATATTGATAATTTTCTGTATAAGTGACCTTGGGTGAGTACTTCGTGAAACAGAAGAGAAATGAATGTGCACACAGTTTGATGCCCACAAGAAGAATGATTACAGGAATGACCTTAATGGTAATAAATTTACTCCCAGGAAACTAAGAATGTACCAAAGGAATGTGAAATCATTCTGACAAAGTAGACATGTTTAACCCCAAACCCATTTATTTTATATTCAGTAATTCATGATCAATTTAATGTGTGACTCTATAACTCCAGTGGTGTCTGTAACTCCAGTTCCAGGAGATCCAGTGCCCTCTTCTGACCTCCGCAGGCATTGCACAATGCAGGTGCACTTAACACACAATCAGGCATTACACACATACACATAAAATTAAAATAAAATGATAGTGGAAATAAATATTGGACAGCTGCACAATTGATTATTAATTATCAGAATATGTAGAGGATGAACCAATGAGGCCATTTACCCAAAGGAAACAACCTGAATAGAGAGCGACAGTTTGGAGCAGTGACCCTTTTAATCCATTTGTTTATGCATCAGATTAGCTCCCCAAAGTAGATTACACAGAAATAAATAATAAACAATGTATTTTTTGAAAATAAATTAGTTTAATAAGAGTCACATATTTGAAAAACAACTGGGGAAAATTTAATAACATGGTAAGGATTTAAGAACCTCATTTTAGGAAACATTTTGAATTTACTGTATTTTTATTCTTTCATGTTTAAAGTAATTTTTAATATGAAAATAATGAAAATGAATTCCATAATCTAATTTTTAGGCTCTAGCTGGATTCATTTGTTTTGTAATGTTTTGAGGTCTCAATGAGACAAGGATTTCTGTTGCTCATGACTTAATATCTTTGAAGACAAGAGGGGGCAAGTGAGAGTAAGAGACAATGTTGCAATCTATGTGTCAGGAAAACAGAAAGGGGACTATTTGGGGGGAGGCAGGGGACCAGCACTACTGGGAGCAGAGGAATAGAGGAACACAATAGGAGACGAATAACAACAAGGTATAATGATAAATGTGCATGAAAATGTCATGATGAAATTCATTTCCTGAATGCTATTCAATAAATAAATAATAGGTACAATTAATATTTATATTTTTAATTGTACTAAAAATACTAAGTACATCAAAATATACTTAATGATTTTAAAGTCTCTTACATACGAAAGAAGGAAACAGACAATGGGGACAGAATAGCAAATGATTTTACTAATTTAGTCAAAAGGTTTTATAAGCAAAATTTCATTTTCTCTCTCTTTTTTGGTGATTGTTGGTGGTAAAACTCAGGGCCATATATGCTAGTCCAGTGCTCTTCCACTGAGCAATACACCTGGCTCTTGAGAAAATAATTATTACCTGTTTTCTATGCTTGCAATTACTTATTTAATTTATTAATATTGAAATGAGTCTTGCCACATTGCTTTATTGTAAGGAATTTTTTATTGTCTTTTCATAAATTTCTAGTTTTATTTTCCAGTAAATTAGGCTTATGTTTAAAATTAAATTAAGTAAAAACATACAGCTATTTAAAATCCAAGAGGTATATTTTTATAATGGAATCTCAAGCATTTTGCAGTTAAAACTGTTCACCAGGCGCTCTCAATATCTCAGTATAAATTGTAGTTTGATATACTATATCATTATTCCATTTTGACAACTTATGTATATAATTTGCATATTCATCCTTTGAAAGTTACTTAGATTTTTATCACTAAATATTCTTAGCAATTGGTTTGGATTCTTGCCCTGAGCCACAAACTCCTAGCAGTGGAATTAAAGTTGGAGACAGATACATGGTTGGTGATGTGGTGTCCTTCCAGTGTGAACAAGGCTATTCTCTTCAGGTAAAGCCAGTCTTTAAAATACAGTTTTGATTTCCATTTTTTTTTCTTTTGGAATATTTCAATAGATCGATGACTACTAATGCTTAGACTTTGCAGCAATCTTGATTCGTAGCTACTTAGTTTGGTCCTAAATTTAAAGAATGTCCAATTTATTAGCAAAATAATAAATAATAAATGGAAAAAGATGAACAGTTACTTTGGAGCAAACAAAAATGGAGTTTTTTTCAACTTTAAGGGTAGACACAACTTTCAAATTAAGTATAAAATGTAATGGACTTTGATTTTTATAGAAGAATTTTACAACAGTTCTGTAGCCTATCTCATCTTAGATGTTTTAACAATGCATTACAAAGCACTAAGTATTGGTGATATCAGTTGTACAATTATTGCAGTAACAGTAAAAAATCTTTGACATAAAAAAGTAAAACCACAGTTTGATGATATGAAGTATTATTCTTTCTATAAAGACTTTGCAGCTTTTTACATTTTATCACATTTCTTAAGTAATACTAATACTCTCAAATATAAAAATGTCAGTGTCTATTTGCACCTATACATGTACTTTTTGATTACTCATTCAGTAAGCTACATTAATTTAATCTTCTATAAATGTGTACTGAACAGCATTGTCTTGTTTATGTAGGGTCATTCTCATATCACGTGTATGCCTGGACCAGTAAGAAGATGGAATTACCCAATACCTATTTGTTTGGGTGAGACTATGCATAATTTATAAACTTCATCAAAGCTTAAAGATTCACTTTGTGATCCATATTTTAACTTATATTGCCTTTCTCCAGGTTTTGTGGAAATGCTATTTTGATATATAATACTTGCCTTTTAAAATTTGAAACTTTACAACTTTTAACCTAGGTGACAAAAATAAAGAGATTAACAAAACATATTTGCTTTTTATTCCTATGACAAATATCTATATGAATATATACATTCAGAATAAGTAAATATCCTATTGCTTTCTATCACACCAAAGTAACAAAGTATTATATAGAAGTAATACTTTTAAAAGATTAAAGTAGGCAACTTTAACTTCATTGTATAGATGAAATCACATGTGACAGTTATCATGCTTTGCAAAACTACTATATTCAGATTTCAGCTCAATGCAAGGTAGCTTTGAAATACATTATTCCTTGAGTTTCTGTTTGTTCATATTCTAAGTAAGATAACAGTGTTTGGCCTCACAAGTTTATTTTGATGGTTAAAAGACACAATAATGTTAAAGTGTTTAGTTCTGAAACTGGGGAACATAAGGCACTCAGTGGTAGCTTTCATAAGTTAAAGGTCTCATAATACAGACTAATTTTTTAAAAAGCAAATAAACATTATGATGGAATACACAGTAACTAGAAAAAATTATGATAGGTATTAAATATAAGACAGCATAAAACAGTTCACAGTACAATCTTATTTTCATTATACAAGCATACAGATAAATACTTATGCACAGGAAAAAATGTAAATTAAAAATGATTATTTGTGGGTGATAGATTTTCAGTGCATTTTCTTTTTTCTTGCCTATAATTTGCAATTTTTGCACAATAAGCTCATAGTACATTTGTCAGAAATTAAAATACTTGAAGTAAAACACTTGCTGTATTGAAAGGCGACAGTGAAGGCAGCTGACTGCTTCAGAGAACATGTTAAACTGTAGTTATCAAGTAACAAGGTCATAGAGTTGTGGACTGGAACACAAGTAATCTACCAGATATTTTTATGAAGGAAAGACAAATTCAAGGGCATTTTTAGATAATAGAGACAAATAAGTGGGGAGACTCAAGAACATTTTGAGTTGGAGAACCAGTATCTGTCGCTGAGGTACAAATGAATGTGTTGGAAGTTGCTGTTAACACCCACAGAATCGTCATTGAGAAATGGACATGCGTAAGATTGTAGAGACACTGAGGAAAGAAATGAACCAAGCACTGAAGGCAGGTGCACTTTAAAATTATCATGTTTGTTTTTTATGATTTACCGTGCTTTTTTCCCCTTTCTCCACTATCTGTTTACTCCTCTCTTCATCCATTGATTTTGGGGTCTATTGGGATAACAGCAAAATGAAGATGATAGGATTTTATGATCATTTCTAAATAGCAAAGAGTAGAATTGGAAAGACAAGAACACAGAATGAGTCACTTTTCTTGCTACTCTGATGAAATAGTCTGGCAAATCCAGCTTCACAGAGAAAGGCTTTTTTGCTGGCTCACAGTTCAAGAAGGCCATCCATCATGGTGGAGAAGTTATGACAGGAGCATAAGGCAGTTGGTCATAGGCAGCCCAGTTAGGAGACAGAGAGTGATAAATACTTCTGCTCAGGTAGCCTTTTTCTTTTCACACAGTCTGGTTTCCCAGCCCACAGAATTCTGTCGCTCACTTTTTTGGGTAGGTCTTCCCACCTTTATTCACCTAATCAAGATAACCCCGCAAACAAGTATGCTCAGAGACTAGCCTAATCAAAGCAATCCCCAAAAGATGCTCTAGAAGCTCACCATCTAGAAGATTTTTAGGTACTGTCAGATGATGATCAATACTGAGCATCACAACCAGCGTGAAGACAAATTTAGAAGTGTAAATGCAGGAAAGCGAAGGATGAGCCTTTCCCATTATTCAAAGTTCAGATTAAAACAAAGTAAAAGCAATGGATGGTGTCCACTTTAAAAAATATTTTTAAGTACTAAAATTATTTTTCTATAGCTAATTATCAGATTTCTGATAAGTAAACATAATTTAGAACAATGAATTACTGGATAGATTTTATTTTGTTGACAGTTGTTTTGGTTTACTGATCAATGAGCTGAAATTTCAAAGGAAAGAAATCTATGCAGGTTTCTTTATACCTTAATATAATAAACTTTTTTTTAAAGTTTATATGCATGTTGATGCTAAGATTTTATATATATATGTATCTCTCTCTCTCTCTCTCTCTCTATATATATATATATGTTTGAGACATATTTTATTCAGTTCACACAATGAAACTGCTGTCAGACTAGTTACTATCCCATGGACAGAGATAAAACATATAATGGAATTTTCTTTATGATACATAACCTGAAGTTTGAGTACCTACCTGTTATTTTCTGAGTCTGGAAAAAAGTACAGAAAAGTGTTCTATATAAGTAATAGCTATCAGATTTGATTTCCTATCAACAATTAATGGACATATATTTATATTTCCACTATGATGACATGATAAATATGTGCATATATAGTAAAAAAAGGACTTCTAAAATGAAATTGCTGTTCAACGTGCATTAAATAGTTCTATCTAAAAAAAATGTATCATAAA